ATTTATCGATATGGTAATTAGTATTCAAACTATTCAAGTAATTAATTAAACTATTTTCTAAGTTTCGTCTAACGATAGAAAGACCTCAATCTCTATCAATTATTAGCATTAAAATTATGAACGCAATAAAACTATTTTAAATTCTTTTAAGAGAAAGAGACTTGTTAACAAACTCGTTTTTATTATCGATTTGTTTTAATTACAACAAGCTGTGGGAGTCACAGCCGGAGAATACTTTTTCAAATAAAACATAGTCTTCTTTAACTCATATATTTCCTTTAGAATTGTAAACAACAACTTTTTCAAAAACACCGCTGTTACATTGTCATTTTCATTCCCCGAATGTCAGAAAAACATGGCCGTCATTCAGACGAGCAATTACAATACTTTTAATTTACGATAACGAAATACCGTCAGATAATTAACATGATAAGTTGAATACTTCTATTTTATATTTGAGAATCAAATATTTAAATAATCTATTGGATCGTAATACAAATGATTAATGTTGTTAAATAAACAAAAGTGTTATTGACTTATAGCATAGACTATATAATGTTTTACGTTAAGGAATTACACAATATATGAAATGGCTTACAGCTCGGCCTTCCTGCTAAAAGCGAGTCCCTTCGCTTGTAGTTATTAAACACTTGTTGAATATACATATAGAATACATCGTTCGATCACAATCGTTAACTGTTTTAACATCAACTTTAAAAAACTATTAGTTATTTTAATTAAACTAGACTAATAGGTTACCAATTAAATATGAAATTATAAATCGAACAGTAACTTTACAAATTTGAACATTGGCTTTGTACTAGGTCGACCTATATAAATAGGTTAGATCTTTATTTTCATTATTCATCTCCTTCCTCTTTACTATGATCATCTTGAACAATTCAATAAATCCGGTTATTTATGAATGTTGTGAACATCTAATTAAATCTGAATCTTAAACCATTGCCTTAATCGTCTTCGACTTTTCTTCGGATAACCGGACAGAGGTGATCCATTCTTGTTTCCCATCCTCGACAGCCAAGACATAAACACACGTAAGGAATTCAAGTTCAACTCTCTCAACTGGGTCGCGGCTAAGTGCACCCACATGCGACCTGGTCTCTGACACATTCGAACGAACGCCAGCTAATTCGCCCTTACACGCACCACCGTAGAATTGTGCTCCGGCGGTCATTCAGTCAACATTTCCTTCCACGTTTGAGAAACAGGGCTCCACTGCCACTTTTTAAAAGACAACTTTACTGATCTTCTAATAAAACCTAATATTTAATTAATCTTCCAAAGTATCCAGTGGTCAAGATATCCATCCAGTTCGCGCTGGTTTATAGGTTTAAAAAAAAAACTCTGATACAGCCTCGGTTCCACGGTAACCAGAATGAACTTCGCTTGCAGTCGTAGTCAAGAAAATAAACAGCGTAGAGGAAAAAAAACGACAATTCCTCCGCCACTAAGCCGCTCCAGAACCTTACCAACCACTGCAACACCTCAGTTACATCCATAGAAGCGATAATGAAACATCCACACCAAATCTTGGCTTCGAACAGTATTCCATCAATAGTCTGCTGAAAACGACGTTCGACGACACGCTCACCAACACGCACGGGATTCGATCGTATTTAAACTGATCAATGAACGCAGTTCCATAGCACGACTCTTCAGTTATTGATACCTGGCAAAACTAGAGACCAGATCCAGACAAGTGAAAACCTTGATGGCCGAAAACCGGTACACTTGGTCTTCAATTCGGAGGAGAGTACAGCGCACTATCCTGGTCCTGCAATCCATAGCGCGGCGGTCCACACATATCCGTTCATTGACCGTTTTTTTCTTGATCCAAAATGGAAGCATATTTTTCAGCAAAGAACGAACCGGAACCTGGATAACCGCCTCCACTAAACTTGTGAAACCTGGGAATGCAGCTGAGAAGCAACTCTTCTTTTCAACTCTCTTGTTCTTCTGTTCTTAAATTATTCTACAGTTTAAAATTGTGATTCAGGCATACAATAAAGGGTGACGATTTCCATATAAGTCAAACCAAAAGAAGGTAAGTGACTGCAGAGCACCCAAGCTTCTAGGAGAAAGTCAACTTTCTGGTTCCTCTGGACGTAGATCATGCAAAAGACGAAATTGGGAAGGTTGAACAATGCCCAACGAGATCTCAAAAATATCGGCACTGACTTGAAGAAATTTTCTGGATCAGGCCCAAGCCTAACCGAGTCTGTAGTGCATTTGGTGATGATGGACTAATTAAATTATAAATTTAGAAACAAAAAGAAATGTTAACCACATTCAACATCAAAACTTTAGCTAGCGTCGTGAAATATTGTATTTCTTATCACGCTCCTCACGGTTTGGCAATAAATATCTGTATTGACACATACATAAATAAAATATTTATATTATATATTTTAATGATAAACATCAAACCGCAGTATTGACTTGGCAAGACAAGGGTCTTTGAATGTTGAAGAGATGGAAGATTTTTTTTTAGTCTTCCTCTACCTTTGTAGCCATCCACATTCAATCTCATTACTTCTTTTTTTTTTGCTTATATCGTCATCATGTCTCCGCATAACATGCCCAAACCATAGTAGAGTGAATAGGCACTTACTAAGCTAGCGCGTACCATCTTTCGACCAAGTCTCCACTTCACCAGGTGGGATCGTGGTCAAGCGCTCGCTTACAAAACGTAAAAAAAAAACCGCGCTAATCTTTTACTCCTCAATTTCTCGATCACTGGCGCTGCTCGAACACAAAAAAAAATCTTTTTTTGTTTATTATGAACATATCTTTAATCAGTTCAATACATCGCACGTCGCATCACTGGCAGTCTTGTCTTGTATACCATACTTTTTAACATTTTAACTCCTTTCATTTGGTATGATATATATTTTAAGATAAAAACATGCTTTAATTAACTTTTTTTTTTAGTTTACATATATTTCCGATAATAAACTTTTTCAGTTAATTATAATGACTAAAATATGTTGATTATTATGTGTATTTCACGTTTTGTTAGGTTTTTGGTCTTGTCTAGAAGACCGTGGCTCACATAGCTTTCTTTGCTTGTCTTGTATACAAAATTTTTCTGTCAAAACTCAACACCAGCAAGTCTGATATCGTTTGTATACCTTTCATGCACCATCCATCAATACTCATGACAGAGAAATCCAAATTGCCACGGCATTGAAAACTAGTTGTAGCAAATGGATCACTATACAGCATCCAATCCAGCTTTTGGGAATCTTTTTTTTGTGTAAGCTTC